GAGAAGCAAGCAAAGTCTTGTTCTTAAAGAATACACTACAAGAAGCTTTTACAATTGGGAATAACCAAACTGCTCATGGCTTACCATGAGCCATATGGACTTCAGATCAACCAGATTCCATACCTCATTGTCTTTGATAGTGTAGTGACACAAACTCTGTCTTTGTCCAAACCTCTGTGGAATTTCTTTTGCAATCTTATCTGGGTCAACAATGGGAAAATTTGCTAGGTCTCTCTGAATCTGTGGAAAGGTTTGAGGGCAGTTCATCTCTTCCAGCCATGCACTGCTTTCCTCCTGAGGGCAGTCACAGTTTTCATGGTAAATAGGTCCTATTGGGAACAAAATTATTATTTTACTTTTAATAAGTCATAATATTGAGCTGTTGAGATCACAGAACAGGGTCAAGCACTGAACATTCATTGCTTAGGGTCAAAACTTCAGCAACTCTAAATGGATATGTCTGCATTTTTTTTAACTCTAATGGAGTCATGTCAACCTACATCAGCTTATGTGTGAGCCTTCTACCTGTATTTATTAGGCAACAGCTTCACAGCACTTCCTTCCTTTCATTATTTTGAATACTATGTGTCGGACACATATAATGAATCCATAATTCCAATGGGATTTGATAGTCTAGAGAAGTATGAGGTCCCAAAGAAACCTATGCTTCTAGTAAAAGACATTCTGGGACACACTTTGTCAGCCATGACAGGAAACCTGTGTATAGTGGTGCCTCTTACCTTTTAAAATATATGGAGACTTTGCAACATGCTTATCTCCAGTTTTGACTTCTATCCTCAGGCTCATGTAGCTCGCATACATCCTGTACCTCACGAGGAAGGAACCATCTTTCCTATCCAATACTTGCACACCAACACGAGTGAACTGTTCTTCAGGAGCAGTGATCTTCACCTGGAATGCATTTTCACCTGGTGATGAAGTGAACCTACCCAGAGAATAAGTGGGAGCTTAATAAACAAAGGAAACACACAACAGACTTCTTAGTCTGGTCCATTCCTTTGCAAGTCAACAGATTTCCAGCGAGCCTTGTTAGCCATGATTTCCTCTGAGCCACGTTAGGCCTCTACGAGCACATCCGAATGTTCACTTTAACAGATTAATAAGTCTATTATTTTACATTCAGAAGCAAAATGCTTTCAGATTACCTTATTTTCCAGGTATTATTTAAGGAAGTAATGAACAAAGTTACACTTCTTAATCATTATGGTAGCTTATATGGGAAAAAAAAAACAGGGAAAAAATTATACAGGGATCACGTAATTCAGTGTGTAAATGAGATGTTTTGGTATAATTAAACATACACCAAAACAGAAAAACCTGTATAAAACCCAAATAAAACAATTTGAATAATCATGAAGTTATCATATATCATTGAGGTATCAACAAAGCTGGTGCCGTCAAAATGCTGTCAGCTTCCTTTCACTTTTCTTCCAGGCGGTGACCAGACTCTTGGGCTGTTAACTCCTTAGTTCAGCTACTCCTACCACCTTTCTTAAAACTTGTCCAGACATACTCAAGAGCTGCCAGTTCAATTAAATGCAAGAAATATTTACCATCCAAGTTAAGCTAAATTGGCAGCTTCCATACTCACACAAGCCATGGTGCACCTAATCTGGATGACCTTGATGGAGCATTCTGAGCACCTATCTAGGTTGCATGACCAGTTTTCCTAAATAAATGGAAAGCAATGAGTATCCTCTGAAAATCACAGAATCACAAGAGTTGATAGGGTTGGACAGGACCACGGGAGACCATCTAGTCCAATCCCCTTGCCAAAGTAGGGTCACCTGCAGCAGGGAACACAGGCACATGTCCAGGGGGGTTTGCAATGTCTCCAGAGACAGAGACTCCATAGCCTCCCTCGGCAGCCCGTTCCAGTCCTCTACGACCCTCAGGGAAAGTTTTTCCTCATGGTGAGGTGAAATTTCCTGTATTCCAGTTTATGGCTATTGCTCATCGTCCTATTTCATTCCAAATAAGTTTACCTATTGGCCTATGGAGTAATTCCTAAAATATTCTACTGATCTTGTGCCTCGGCACGTAGGAGAAATATTAATGTTCCCAACAGTGGAAACAAGCAGGATGCCTGAACCTAACAAATTAAATGTATTAGTCACTGCTAAAGTTTTGACAAAGGAGAATAAATAATGAATTTTTCCACTGACTAACACGTATGCTTTGCTGCTGAACGTTTTCATCCTCTCATCTCATCCCCTCGCGCCCTTATTTGATACTCCTTGAAAAGATTAATTAGCTCTTGCCAAGTGATATGCAGAGTCACGTAGAGGGAGCTTTTAGCCTGCACCTTCTACGAGCAAATCGCAAGCCTCTCGGCTTGACCGTGCCCAGAATCTCCCCGAAAAGCCGCCGCCGCCCTCACCTCAGCCCTAGGGCGTCCACGGCCTGCACATAGAAGTACCGCGCGGGGAGCGCGGCCGCGGCGCGCAGCCCGGGCCCCCACACGGCGCTGCGCTCGGCGCTCGGCCGCCCGCCCCCGCCCGCGGCCGCCGCCGCCGCGGCTCCCAGGGCGAGGCACAGCGGCCACAGCGCAGGCATCGGCAGCGCTGCCCCCGAGGGCCGAACACCGCCGGCACCGGCCTCCAGCCCTCGGACCGCCGCCGGGCAGTCCCGCCCCCGGCGCGGCTCCATGGGGCGGGGCCGCGGCATCGCGGGGCGGCGCTGCCGGGAGGCGCCGGCCCCTTGGGAGGTGCCGGCTGAGCCCCCGGGAACTACTGGGACCCAGGGCGTGGAAAGCACTGGGGACAACTGGCTCTGACGGACCGCGGCCCTGACCTACGCATCCGGACATCTCTGAGCCGCTGTTTAACCCATGCCATGAGCTCAAGTTCTTTCCGGCCCCCGCCCCCCCCCAGCCTCCCTTCATTCCGTTCTCAAACATTAGGGTGGGAAATGGAGTTTACAATCCGGAAAATGTGTTTTCAAAATTCTCCCCGGAGCAGCTGAAGAGCTTCTTTGCGCTGAGGGTGACAAAGCCCTGGAACAGGCTGCCCATGGAGGCTGTGGAGTCTTCCTCTCCGGAGATGTTCCAAACCCACTGTGTTCCCATGCCACCTGCTCCAGGTGATCCTGCCTTGGCAGTTGGATTAGATGATCTCCCGAGGTCCCTTCCTCCCTTAATAGTTTTGTGATTTGTGGCTGCCGGTAGTGCAGGTCTGGGATTATCTGGAGCAGAGGTGAGGGGGCACCTCACCCGCTGCCACCAGGGCAATCACCCCGTGCGGGCCTTTGGTGATTCCATGGCCCTTTGTCTGTCAAATAATCCAGCCTCCACTTGCAGAGAGATAGTCCCAAACACTAATGCTGTTCTTAACTACACACAGAATCATTTAGGTTGGAAAAGACCTCTAAGATACTTTCCACTTGGCTCTTGACTGCTTCTCTCTTGTTAAGGCAAACAATAAAGAAAATTGAAACTCATCAGCAAGGACTCATGAATTTCAAAAAGATTTTGTATTTTACATTTTGAAATGCTGCAAATATGCTTAGAGAAAAGCACACAAAAAACACTTGTTTGAAGAAAATTTCAAGCCGAGAAATGACAACTTGGGTTGATGAAGAGAGTGTTTTCTAACCAAGTCATTACAAAATGCCTTAAATATTACCAAGATCCAGCTTTTAAAGACATAGTTTTTGGCCTGTTATGTTCTAACTGTGATGAGTTTTCAGGTCATTCAGCAGATAGAAGACTTACAATTTCCAGTCTAAAAATTCACACAGACTCTATTGTATATCCATGACTCTTTAGCTCCTCTCCTTTCCCCATCTTTACTCTCCTGATGTGTAAAGAAATCACACTCTTTCCCAGCTTATATTTTGCTGTATGAGAGAAGCCAGTCTCCTCTAGTGGAAGAGAACTTTAGAGATGTTTTTAATTAAAAGAAATTGGATAGCTGTAGAATTCACAGATCATGCTTCCTCAGGATGGCACCGACATGTTAAAAAAAAAGCACAGCAGCAATAAAGTAAAGGTGACACACTTCCACCCTCCTGATGTTCTCTCCTCCAGCTTTTTTCCCCCCACATAAGTGCAGCTCAGGGAATCCATACAGAGATTTGGCACTATTTGTCAGCACCCAAACAAGTTATAAGATAAATCATGCAACCTAATTTTAGTCTTGGCTGGCAAAGCCAACATCACTGCTATCCTAATGCCTATAATTTGGCTCAGATAAAAACGCTTTGGAGGCAGAATTATTTAATTATATCAAAGGCTGTTGGCCGACTAAGGCTCAACAGGCTTCCAGCTGGCAAAGGCACAAGGGATGCTCTCCTTTACAAGGGGCAGGTTGCCTCAGGATGAAGCCACATAAACTATGGAATGTGATCTAGGTCTTCTCGTGTCCAGGGGAGGGCAAACATGGCTGTACCCACAATTGCTCGAGCACTTTGACAATTCAGCTCTGCCTAGCCACTGAGAACCATCAAATAACACTAGCAATTCAGGAGATAATAGATACTGGTTTTTTTCCATTAATTCCAGCACCTCTCACAGAAGGTATTGCTCGGAGTAGAGGCACTGTGGACTGAGGGCACAGTGTTGTTATTGCCAGGAGTGAATCCTCTGTCAGCAGGACATCATATAACTTTTTGATATTTTATTTAAAATTTTATAACGACTTTGTTATAAAATCAATCTGAGTATTTAAAAATGAATTAATTTTACATATTTGGGCAGTAGCAGAACAGCTCCAGTTGCATCTTCAGTGTACTGTGTTTGTTCATGTTGACTGCAATGAAGGATGAGATGACAAATATTGTCAGCAGTTCCAGACAGTGTTACCTGAAATAAACTTTCGTTCCTTCATACAGTTTTACAGAAGCATTGTTGTTACACATGTTCTTACTACTGTCAAAGGAACCAAGACCCTGGTGCAAATATAAGGTAATGTGGTCCAAGCTCCCTGCCCATGCAGGGTCAGCCCACAACACATTGCACAGGATTGCATCCAGACGGTTCTTCAGCATCTCCAGTGAGGGAGACTCCACAACCTCTCTGGACAATCTGTTCCAATGCTTGGTAACCTGCACAGTAGATAAGTTCTTCCTCATATTCACGTCGAATTTCCTGCCCATCAATCTCTGCCCGTTGCCTCTCGTCCTATTGCTCGGCACCACCGAGCAGAACCTGGCTCCATCCTTTTGGCACCCTCCCTTCAACACTTATAGACATTGATGAGATCCCGTCTCAGCCGTCTCTTCTCGAGGCTGAGCAGGCCCATCTCCCTCAGTGTTTCTCACAATTCCGCGCCGAGCCCCCACACAGGCGACGCTTCCCGCCCCCGCCATCCCCGACCTGCTCCTCCCCTCCCTCCCCCTCCCGCCCGCGGGGCACCAGCGGGCGAGACCATGAGGGCGCATATGGGGGGGAGGGCAACCGAAGAAGCGCCACTCACGGCACCGAGGCGCAGTCGCGGCCCAGCCGGGAGGCGCTCGCCACTGGTTCCTCCGAGGCACCGTGAGGGCCCTCAGCGTGAGCGCGGCCGTGGCCGCCGGGCAGCCCCGCGCCTCTCCCCGTCCCCGTGCGGCGGCGGGAGTTGGTGCGGGCCGGCGGCGGAGGAGGCGGGGGGCGGCGGGGGCGCGCAGGTGAGCGCGCGGCTGTGTCTGCTTCCGGCGCGCCCGCGTCCCCGCTCCGCCGCGGCCGGGGAGGCGACGCCGGCGAGCCCCGCTCCGCGCAGGTAACACGGGCCGGGCGCAGCCCCGCCGCCCCCGCCGCCCCCGCCGCCGCTGCCCCTCGCAGGCGCCCAGGAGGGGGGCGAGCCCACGGTCCCGGGGGCCCCTTTCCCAAGCCCGCGGCTGTTCACTCCGGAGCCGGCTGGCGGCAGCGCGGGGGGAGGGGCGGGTGCTCGGATGTGTCCCTGCGCTCCGCCGAGAGGAACCCGGGCGGCCCCGGGCGGCCAGAGGCGCTCCCGGAGCGCCGCAGGTGCGCGGCAGCGGTCCGAAGCCAGTGTTGCAGGAGGAGGCAGTGGAGCGGAATTCCTGCCTCCCTCGCGCCAGGTTCCCATCTGCGGCGCGTGTCTGCAGACGTGCGAGCTGCTGAGATGACAGATAACACACACGCTGTCAGCTTGCCCTTTAAAAGTGATCGCTTAAAGCAAGCCAGCCAGCCGTCTAAATTTGTTTTTGGTAATTCTTAGCTGCCATAAACAAAACCTGCTTTTCTTTCTCACGTCTTGAAGAATAAGAGGCACGTAAAAATAAGAGGGAACCTTTAACAGCTGTAGGAGGAAAGTACTGGAACAGATTGAGGGTGGTGTTGTCAATTTACAATCGATAAGGTTATAGTTACTGTAATTGTATGCTTGAACTTAACTTGCAGCAAAAATTTGCCGGATTCAGCAGAATTAAGACCTTAAATTATGACCTTAAATTGCTGTATGGTGATTTATTAATTTGTATAAATTATTCTGTATTTCATAGTGTACCGTGACTGTAAGGGATAGAAATGAGCAGCCACAACCAAGAATATGTAGAAAGCTTTTAATTTTATTTTTTTTTTTGTGTGCTGGTTTGTAAGTGTAATTACTTATTATGTCCTCATCATGATATCACTGCAGTGTATGCTGTTGGCATCTCACAAATGATAAAAGTGCTGATTGCAGAGGCTTAGGGAAAGACACCACGTGTGTTGTGGTATCTCAAAGGGTATTTCAGCTTTTATTGGCTATGAGTTCAAAGATAAGCTTTGTGCATATTTTATGCTGAATGAGGCACCTGTACTAACTTAACATTTTTTTTTCAGGTACCTTGTTGATACCTTGCAGAAGCAATGGAGGCAATGATGAAAATCCTGTTGTAATTAAAACATAAAGAGAAAATATTCTTTGCTGTGCAATACTCTTAGTATCATTCAATGCCTACTATTTCAGAAGATGAAAAAGAAAATGGTTCTGGAAATAATGGAAACACTGAAAACAGACCTGGGAAAGAATCCCCAGAAGCTTCTCTTCACGATCCCGTGAAGCCATACTGCATGTCAGACACCTCCACTGCATCCTTGGTGTCTAGGGAAGATGGGCATTATCCATGGGGATGTCCTGTGACTCATACAAGAGAGAAGTTTTATACCATCTGCTCAGACTATGCTTTTTTAAACAGAGTCACATCTATTTGTAAAAGTCCAAGTGCTTCAGTTAGTGCCTGCCTATCAAGTAGTGCTGCCTTAAATGTTGGAAATAACACGCCTAACTTACTCAGCGTTCAAACTGGTGCTTCAGAGATTATCTACAATGAAGATGCTAACTTGGAAAGCCTGCCTGGCAATCTTGGAAAGCTTCCACTGGCATGGGAAATAGACAAATCTGAGTTCAATGGTGTGAACTCAAATCTGAAGAACAAAGCAGGTGAGGTGGTGATGTTTTGATGTGAAAGGAAAAGGCTTTTGTTTCTGGCTTGTTTGTGAAGGGAGCCGGCCAGCACGTGTGTCCCGTGAGGAGCTGCTGTGGAAGAGCCTGTACTTCATTTCAAGGAGCCTGCTCATCAGGATAGGCGAGAGAGGAGGAGTAAAAATCAAGTATAACTGCCAGGGGAAGTTGATCCAAAGCAAGGCTGACTTCTGCTTAACTGTGTAGTATTTGGGATGGTTTCTGGTATCCGACCCTTCCACTTGTTGTTGGAGTGGTTTTTTTTCTTTTGTTTTAATAGGACCTAGTATATTATGCATCTGGATGTATGGCATCAAAGAGGACAAAAATATTTCTGCTTTAGCACATGACCCAACTCTCCATTTTCTACTGTCACAGAGGCTTGGGTGTATATTATTATTAATGGATTTGCATATAAGTTTTCATCAGAAACTGTAGCTGATTTCAAGGCTGGCAGTGAAAAACAAGCATTTCATTATGTTCTGCACCTACATAGTGTTAGGAGACGGGAGGTCCATGTTGATTTGAGACTATTTCTGGGATGGGTGATTTAATGCATTAGAATAATCAGATTGACTTATCTCTCTAAACAGTTGGGCAGGTCATCATTAATTCTGTTCATGATCTAAGCACCGTGTTGTTTACAGAGCTAATGGCAGCTTTACAAACCTGTTGACAATTTAGATTATGTATTTAAGCTTTCTTCTTTCAGTTAACATTTAGTCCCAGTTTACGCTTACTAACACAACTGGTGTCTGTATTTGAGCTGTATGCTATTACTAAAAGTATTTAAGAAGAAAGCTGCAAATGGCAAACTAGACATTCATTTGATTCTGAAATTTGATTTGCAGGCAGCATGAAGAAACAAGGGACAAAGAAAAAATCTGTGGACAAAAAGAGCAAACAGTACAGGGAGTGTCCTCAACGTTCAGCTCTTGAAGACGTGAAGGAGAGAAAAGTGTTGGACCTTCGGAGATGGTAGTATTTATGAATTCATTTATGAAGTTATGAATCTATGAACTACACTAACCACATAGTTTCTCAGTAAATACTGTTTCTAGTTACCTGATTTCAAACTTCTCAATAATGGCTTTGTAATTTTTTTTTTAGTAGAGATATTAAGCATATACACACTGTCTCATGCATTCTAAAAGAAAAATTTGAGCTTCCCTCCCATCTGTTGAAATTCTTAAAACATTTTTCTTTCCAAACATTCCTTTTACTTTCAGCACAGGGAAAAAGTTACATGGGGATTCATTGCAAAACAAAATGCAAGTTCAATAGCATGGTCAGGCAAAAAGTAACCTTAATACCACTGATATGTTTTACTTCTGATTTTACTTTTTACTGGGAAATACTTGATCAGAATCTGTCATTTCTATACAATGATTATTGTATTAATATTGCTAGCTCACTAATTCAGTTAGTTTAATGCATCTGTCTGGTTCTAACTTTTTTCTGTGACACCAGAAAGTTAACCTAGGGAATCTGTGGCCCAGAATGACATTCATTAGGAAATTGGTAGAGACGTGGTTTGCCACAAGTGCACGTGTTAGAAGGGAGTGGATAAAACCATTTATTATATTAGTACAGAATCATATTTTCATACAGGATCATTTGTACAAAACTCCCATGGGGCTGTTAGAAATTTGAACTGATGTCGATGAAATAGAGTAGTGGCATCTGGCAAAGAAATTGATTAACATTTCTTCATTTTTGTTTTTAAGTATTCAGTTGTTTTGGATTTTTTTTTAAATTTTAATACAGATGGCACAAAATCATTCAATATAATGTGGCGCTTCAGTGGTATGGCACACAAAAAAGTAGTTCATGTTTGTCATGTGCGTGAGTCAAGATTGTGTTACTAATATGTCTGAGGTTTTTTGTTTAAGGTATTGTGTTAGCCGACCTCAATACAAGACTTCCTGTGGAATTTCATCCTTAGTGTCTTGCTGGAATTTCTTATATAGTACACTGGGAGCTGGAAGGTAAAGTCACACATAGACTGCTTTGCTTTGCCTCTAGAGCATCAAAACTATGTTTCTAATTACAACACTTTTTTTTTTTTTTTAAGTTTACCCCCCATCACTCAAGAAGAAGCCTTGCATATACTGGGGTTTCAGCCCCCATTTGAGGAGATTAGGTTTGGTCCCTTCACTGGAAATACAACTCTAATGAGGTATGTTTGGTTCTTTTGATGCAGCTAAGAGACAGAACCTTAAAAAATATGGTAGTAGTTAATTTATTTAAAAACTAAGTGTCTGACATGTTAATCTTCTTAAGTTTTAGAATAATGAAGCATACCTGAGTACTCTGACAATGAAGCTTCTCAAAGGGTTGTTTGCACTGGCCATTTTGAACAATTTGATGTTGTTACACAGGTCAGGTCAATGTGAAATTGTATTTGATTTTTGGTTCAGTTTGTGTAATGGTTATATAATACTCTAATGAGCATAGTCTCCTGGTTAGGAAACTTTCTCTTTACACTTATTTTCCTCTTTTTTGAAAATGCATGTTAAGTGCTTGCTGAAATGGCCTGAAAAGACAATTGATACACTACTAGCTTAATGTAAAATGTAATTTAAGAAGTGAAAATGAGGTAGTGCTGAATCCTTGCTGCATTGGAGCTGTTCAGGAACAAAAAACGTAGGGCTGGAGTCACAGAACATTTTGCAATTTTTTATCACTTATGCTCTGCTGTTTCCTGATATTTAAAGGTTAGACCTAAATTCTTTGTACTTTTCTTAAATATTAAATTAATAAGACATTCTAGGATTAAACAGAGCCAAGAAGCATATTGTACTAGAGTGCTGAACATTTTGACAGGGCTTTGGTGTGTTACCTTTTGGTGAGATTAAAAACTTTTGCAGTATTCTTGCTTGCTTCATGAATTGTATTTGATTTAGTTAATTTTTTTAGGGCAGTATGTAGTATTTGGCAGATCAGGGTTGTGCTGGATTTCAAAATGTGGCAGCAGTCTATTCTTCATCTAGCATACTGGCTAGATAGTTGGAAAATGTCATGAAAATTTCCTTACTTGCTTTAGGAAATTCAGATCCAGGATTTGTATCTCTTCAGAAGTATGTCAGGGTATAGCAACTCTATGGTATAGCAACTGTTATTGACCAAGCTGATATAATGTTCTGTCTCTTTGTGTCAACAGTCTATACAGACAAAAGTTAAACTTATAATTCTTCTTTAATTTCCTCTTTGAGCATTCCCTATGCAGCAGAGAAGTTACCTATCTTTCTGTTTTCTTTTTTTTTTTCCTGCCTTGTCCAATAATTTTGAAGTGCTTGGCAGACTGGGAAACAGGAGGGCTGGAAGCCAACCCCATTACCCAACATAGCTTTATGACTGAGGTATTATCTTCAAACTTGTGAATTTGAATCTTCCAATTTGGGCTTGTCCTTACTTAGTGCTGCAGTGAGGAGTTGCAGTATGAGGCTCCTGTAATGCTCAGGCTTTGTGAAGTTTAGGTGAGAGAAACCCAACAGGATAAGCAGAAAGTCTCATTTGAAGGGTCCCTTCTGGTATCTTAGATTTCATTTATGTAGCCTACAAATCACAGTTGAAGTTTGGTACCTCAGAATTTGTGTGTCTTTCTAAAGGCGAGTAATTGAACATTAGAGGTGACTGGG